TACAATAGCAAAGACCTGGAACCATCCCAAATGCCCATCGATGATAAACTGGACAGGGAAAATGTGGCACATATATACCATGGAATATTATGCAGCCATCAAAATCGATGAGTTCGTGTCCTTTGTAGGGACATGGATGAACCTGGAAACCATCATTCTCAGCAAACTGACACAAGAACAGAAAATCAAACACCACATGTTCTCACTCACAGGTGGGTGTTGAACAATGAGAACACATGGACACAGGGAGGGGAGCATCACACACTGGGGTCTGTCGGGGGGAAATAGGGGAGGGACAGCGGGGGACGGGGAGTTGGGGAGAGATGGCATGGGGAGAAATGCCAGATATTGGTGAAGGGGAGGAAGGCAGCAAATCACACTGCCACGTGTGTAAGTATGCAACAATCTTGCATATTCTTCACATGTACCCCAAAACCTAAAATGCAATTAAAAATTAATTAATTAAAAAGAAATAACAAAAGGACTTTCATATCTGAATCAGATCACTGACTTTCAGTAGAAGTCTTAGGAGTACAGACCATGCCTACAGAATCCCTATTCTAAAACTCCTCAGTATAAAATTCTATAGTGGCATTCTACTGCCTTTAGAGTAAGATCCAAATCCCTTGCTTAACCTGGTCCCCAAGGAAGGACCTGTACAATGTGCCTCCTGCCCACCTTTTAGCTCTCAACTCCCACCCCACCATGCCCTCCACTGCAGTAGCGACCCTCCTTGGGGTTCTCTGGCATGCCACGTCCTTGCTGACCTCCCAGGCTTTTATCCATGCAGCTGTCTGAAATGCCCTTTGCACCCCTTTTCTCCCAAGCATTCCTTCTGCCTGGCAAAAAAAATAACAAGCATTTGGTACTTGGGGTCTCTTTCAAGACCCATCTCAAGGGTCACATGACTTTCCACTCCCGAAGGTGAGAGGCCATCTCCCTGTACTCCCACGACACTAGGTAATAAACCCTACCACAATGCTCATCACACTGTAAAATCACCTTTGCTGGCATTCCCATCACAATCTTTGCTGTAACTCATCGGGGACCCACCAACCAAGTATTTAAAACATTTCAACTTCAATACCATAGAAAAGCTATCGTAATTTTAGGCCACAGTGCACCAAACATCCGGCTGGAATTTCAGTATTTCCAATAAATACCTTGGGGAAGGCCTCAGACTGGAGAGTATCGTGCCTAAGATGAAATTCAGCTATGTGCTTTTCAGGTGTGTGCATGGCGACATGTGTACACACGCACGCTTAACACACACACAGAGGAGTAAAGCTCAAGGCTAAGGAATAGAAATAGGCTTCAAGATAGGAGAAACATATTTAAAAAGGAAAGCTGTATGCTAATATTTAGCTTTTTTTTCCCCTTGTATAATAGAATGTCAGTCTTTTCTTGTACCAACCTAGAACCCCGCTTCCTGAGCTAAAATGCTGTTGCACATTTTTATGTCTAAAAAGTGGGTGGGGGGTGGGGAGGTTGCTTGGGGAGTACCAAGGGGCATTGCAATTTCAGTTGATTACTTATTGGCTATTAACATATTAAGGTTCCAAATGAAATAGTAGTCCACCTCTGTGTTCTAGGAAGTGTTATTCTGGTGTTTGGAGGAATAAAACACTCCTTGTTCCATTTCCGATAACACAATATTCATTCTAAGTACACCTTTGAGAGCCTGAGTTATTTTACTGCGTTTAGAAAATTGAAGTCACTGTAATCTTACATGGAAGTCAAGAGTGAAGGGGACAGTGTCTCACAAACTACAACAACATGGTGCCAACAATGCTGTGCCTCTGCAGCCCGGCCTAGGGCCCAGACAGTGCAATCCTCTCCATGGGCTGCGCTGGGCTTCTGTGGGCTTCCGTGTTTCATCGAGTGCAGGATGAGGTCACCAACAGGTTTCAAGCAAGGGAGTGAAATGATTTGACAAGAGTTTTTAAAGACTGCTGTGGGTCCAAAATGATGAGAGCAATAGAAGAAAAGGGGAAGCAGTCAGGGTAGCCCGTTAAAGGGCTTTGGTAGTCAGTCACCCTGGCAACGATAATGTTGGCTTGGACTTGGGGGTGGACATGGGAGAGCCATGGATGAACTCAAGATCTACTTAAGGAGAGGCATCATTAGGACTTGGTGCTTTGGAGGAAGAGAAAGGCGAATATTAACAGATGACTTCCCAGTTTCTGGCTTGACAAAGTGAGTTAACAACTACGCACCTTAATAAGATGGGGGAAGGGAGGAGACCTAGAAAGGGACTATGGTAGAAGCAGACCAAGACTTAAAATCTGGACACAGTAAGCTTGAGGAACCCACGAGATACCAAGTTTGCTAACTGCTACAAAGGGTGTAAGAATGCTATAGAACACAGAGGAGTCCTGGAGCCAGCCTCAGAGGTGACCCATGCCCATCCTCTCATGGAGCTCAGAGGTCCTGCCACTGTGCCAGTTCAAGGTGGGCAAAACCACTGAGGAGCACCTGGGACCACACTCAGCCAGGACACCTGTGGGTAGCCTCTATAAGGATCCTCACTAATGTAGATCCAGCTTTGGGGTTAAGAAAACAATAACCTTCACAGTAAAATAGTGCTTACATCATGCCACAACTGGAAGTAAATGTGCAGCCTGATGTTTCCTTCGATTAAAAGCATCACAATAGGCTTGCAGATTTCTCAATACTATGTTTCAGATTCCCAGCAAAAGGTTGGTGGTGTCTGGTCTTAGGCCCCAGCACTTACACTATGGGGAGTACCAACCTGTTTGGGGGATTCGAGGTTAGAGTTTCCCACAGGAAAATATTAATCTAAGAGAGTATCAGAGGAAGGTTTCTCAACGTAAAAAGACCATAGAGGATGGCCTGTTTCAGGAAAACAACAATTCACTGAAATCATATCCTGCTCTTAAGTTAATAGCCCCCCTTCTAGAATAGAAGATGGTTTTTTACCATGATGGTTCTATTTTCCCATTTCCCCATCAAAGGACAAATCAAAATGTCACTTGACAATCCACTCTTTCATTGAAAGTTGAGCCATTTTTTAAAAACCACATTTAACTAAACAATTCCACATGGCAATAAAGCACTGTGCTCCACTTCCTTGATTGATAGAAACCATTTGCAATTATTTAAAAGAGAAGGAAGGGAAAGAACATCATCAGATACAGCCGAATTAAGCTGATCAAACCCATTAGTGTCTTCCAGTTTACTCAGAGTAAGACAATGCAGCATTCATATAAACTAATTAAATTTCTTGTCTATAAATTAGCCTTAACAAAAACAAAACTTTCAAGGCTGACTGGAAGGTCTCAAGAGGAACATATCTGCTTTTTCAAGAAAGTTGCCTGGCTGGGGGTGGAGAGAGTACCAGGGTCAGACTCTCAACAGATCAAGACTCCCCTCCTTCAAAGGAACACTGAGGGTGGGCAGGAGAGGGAAGAGGCTGTTTTGTGAGTCTGGTAGTTTGCCATGGCTTCCAAAGGGAAGGACCAAGATGGGATGGGGTGGTAAAAACTGAACCCCATTCACATCAGCTCATGACCTTATGCAAGACATTAAACTTCTGAGCTTATTTCCCGACTTTGAAATGCGAAGTTACCACTTGCCTCTGACTGTTTCCCAGGATTAGCTGGAGAAGAAAATCTGCTGATGTGTGTCAAAGTACCTTGCAAAAGAGAAAGCACTCTACCAATGTGAGAGACAACTGCTGGTTACTGTTAGGCAGAAAGGGTGAGTCAAGTCCTCCAAGATGATGGTGACCAACAAACTGATTTTTTTTTTTTTTTTTGAGAACCATCAATTGATTATTTATTTTGTCAAGTATACTTGATTTGCACACACTTGCCAAGTCTCACAAGATTCAACCACTTGGGTAATTTTTTATTGATAACAGGATATACATATTAAAAGCCTCATACTGAACCCCAAATCACACATCCAACCCAGACAACAATGTGCAAATGAATATGCAAAACAATCTCTGGAAATGTGTGTCTCCAGGATCATCCACAATCTATACTTTGTCCCTCTGGCTGTGATGTACAAACTGATAAAATTAGTAAGAAATTTCTCTGGGATCTTCAGCAGGTACAGTAAACAGTTTGCAAAAAGGAATCTGCTGACTTGTTCATTTAAAGGACAAAGGTTGGGGGCAGGGAGGTGGGTTAAGACATAAGGTCACTGAGTGAAGCGGCTGAGAGCTTGGCACAGATGGAGAAGGTAATCCACCAGCAGCAGATAGCAGGGGCCACAACCCCCACTCACACCCTCCACAAGGGGGCGGAAGCGGGTGGGAAGCCCTTCTCTAGTGACCAGTGGCTTCCAGCTCTGCCTGTCACCTCCCTCCCCACTTCTGGATTCCAGCTCTTAACATGGGCAAAAAAAATCAGACACAAAGTTTTGCTAGTAGAGAAGATCAGGAATCTCGGATCAATGCTCAAAAATCAGAATGTATTTAAGAATGATTTCTAGTACAGACCCAGTAAGGGAGGCATGTTGGGGGTACACTGTGGGTCCACACAAGAGCAGGCCTCTCGTGGGGAGTCTCCTTCACGAGTCATTCAACAAATGTTTATGGAGAACCGACCATGACCCAGGCACAATTCAGATGTGCCCTCGAGGAGCTTACTGGGGAAAATACAACAACAGGCCACGAGAATAAACTGTGGAAGTAAGTACCATGATGGGGGGTGGTATTATGAACCTCTACCCAACCAGCCAGGAGACAGGAAGGGCGAGGCCATCAGAGGAAGGGCAAACAAGAACATAAACGTCACAGGAAGGAGAAAGTGCAAGGGGGTTCAACAGCAGGAGAAATCACCACCAGCCTGGAGGAGATCCTCCACAAAGGAGACAGGTGGCATTTGATAAAGAACTTGAGGGATAAGGAGGAACATGGCCAGGCAGAGAGAAGGGGGAAAATATTACACACAAAACTGGGCATATAGGAGGAATGACAGGGACGGTGACCTCTCCCCAGACATGAGTCTCCCTTGTAACGGCATTTTTACCTTTTCTTCAACTTCAAGAATCGTTGCTTGAATAATTTCAGCAAACTGATCTCCAGTACAGGTGACTTGAGTTATTCCTGTTGAGAAATTAGAAGAAAGGGTATAATAGGTCACAGGGAAAACCCCTCCACAGACTTCGTTTTTGAGCCCCCCACCCCCCTGGCCCCTCAGCTCATGCTGAAAGAGCAGTCACACGGTTCCCCTCTCACAGCTGACTTAGGGACAGATACTTGCTCCAGAGGGGCAGACAGACACACACATACCCCGGCATACACATGCACGTGTGTGATGGGCAAGACCACATAGCCCCTGAGTTAGAGGGGCCTTCCCAGTCCTGCCCCAAACAGGCAGTCAAGCTTTGCTCCCTGTATTCCTGAGATTCCTACAGCAAACTCTCTGCTAACTTAAGCTGCCATGAGAGCATGGCTGTTCCCTGCAATCAAAAATCACTGATTTTAATGAGGGATATAGGTTTGGGACTAGAAAAAGAAATGAAAGTAGAAGGTGAAGGAACAAAGGCTTTTGAACCAAAGCCTTGAGAAAAATGAAAGATGATGAGAAAGTGACCCAGGCATCTGAACTACTGTCCCATCCCATCAGAGAGGAAAGGAAGAGAGATGTGTGAGAGCCACAAAGGACAGCCAACAAATTAACTCAAAACCTCAATGGCATTAAATGTTAAGATGGAAGCCCAGAGGCCGGGTGCGGTGGCTCAAGCCTGTAATCCCAGCACTTTGGGAGGCCAAGGTGGGTGGACCACGAGGTCAAGAGATCAAGACCATCCTGGTCAACATGGTGAAACCCCGTCTCTACTAAAACTACAAAAAATTAGCTGGGCATGGTGGCGCGTGCCTGTAGTCCCAGCTACTCAGGAGGCTGAGGCAGGAGAATCGCCTGAACCCAGGAGGCGGAGGTTGCGGTGAGCCGAGATCGCGCCATTGCACTCCAGCCTGGGTAACAAGAGCGAAACTCCGTCTCAAAAAAAAAAAAAAAAAAAAGATGGAAGCTCAGATACTGGAGGAAGGGGGCTTTTAATACGGGTATTACCCATAAAGCAAAATAATAAGAGTTTCACTGAAAATAAAAAGGTGGGAGACTCCGAAAAGTTGTCTATAACAAGCCAGACATAATTGAGTAATGGTACAATGCCTATCATTACTAAAATATGTACAGTCACTCAAAGATAAACCTTGGTTTACTGTGATTTTTGTTTTGTTTTGTTTCAGACAAACATTTAATCTACTCAAGGTGTGGTTGTGGTAGATCAGCAGTCAGTGCTGAGTTCAGCTGGGCTTTTTCTTCTGGTCTTGCCTGGCTTATGTATGTGGCTACAAGCATCTGGTTGCTCCACTGGGCCAGATGGTCTCAGGTGACTGTTGATGTTAGTGGTTGGTGCTGGCTGCTGTGCTGCCTTTATACTCTCTTTCCGTAAATGTAAACAGTTGTTGTCTTTTTCCCCCCTCAAGAGCTTCACAAATGTATGCTCAACCTCTATCTCACCATATTTTTCCAGTAGTTCCTGAGTTGGGCAATCGTGAACTTACCTACTGTGGAGATTTAAGAAACTAACCTCTGTAGCCTCTTCTACTAGGGAGCACTGATTTTGGCGAAGTTCAGAGATTAAGGTATGTAAAAGGGGGGGAGGGGAGGCAGAACTAGAAAGGGGAAGGGAGTTGGTCATTCAGGAGTCAGGAACGCCAAGTAAAGGAGTTTGGACTTTATCAAAGCAGCATGTAGTCTAGTCCCCAATCTCTAACAGATAACTACCATTCTGAAAATATGGGAAGTTAAAATTGGGCTCCAGAGGGAAAATATGACCTGAGTTAGAGGGTCTACAAAGATGGAAGCGGTCAGCTGGAAACTAAGTCATCAGTAAACTGTGACCTCTACCCTTGACAGGGTTCTTTGCCTGTTGCTGTTGGCTCAATAGCTGCACCAAAGGCTCTACCAGTTTGCCCTGGTTTCTGGGCCTTCTGAGCAGCTTGTTGCTCCAGGGGCTCACTGGAGCATCAGCTTTCACCGGGCAGGATACAGAACAGTAATGGGGATACCGGCTGGCCTCAGAACAGGCTGAAGGGCAACTCTGCTGTCTGCTCTCCCCAGATGTGGCCCTGTCTAAACATTCCAAGCAGGAGAAGCACCAGCTGCTCATCCCACACCTACAGCACTTCCTCTCTCTGGGCCTCAGTTTCTTCATTCACAAAATGATGGAGACTACATCAGTGATACTAAAAGGGGGTTCTGCAAACCAGTGCCAACTCTGTTGCTGGGTCTTCACCAGATAAGTACAGAAATTGGAAGTGCTAAGAAGCTTTTACAGGAATATGATATTGCTACAGAGCCAAGCACATAATCAGCGGAACTGTCTTGGACAGGGCACAGACTAGTATATGAGTTTCCTGAGGCTGCCATAATTATCACTGGATGGCTTAAGAAATGTATTAGTTGTGAAGGTCAGAAGTCTGAAATGAAGGAAAAAGCAATGCCATGTTCCCTCTGGAAGCCGTAGGGGAGAACTAGTTTGTTGCCGCTTCCAGGTTCTGGTGGCTTGGCATTCCCTGGCTTGTGGCCACATCATTCTGACCTCTGCCTCCATCTTGGCAGACGCCTTCTCCTCTTGGCACACTGCCTTCTCCTCTCTGTCAAATCTCCCTCTGCTTCTCTCTTATAAGAATATTTGTGATGGCACTTAGGGCCTATCAAATAATCCAGGATGATCTCATCTCAAGATCTTTACTCAGTCACATCTGCAAAACACCTTTTTCCGATTAAGGTAACATTTATAAGTTCCAGGAATGTTCTAATCTAAGCACATCTTTGGTGCCACCACTTAGCCAACTAGAACAGGTTTGGCTACTGTTGAATTTGTGCATGACCAGCTGCACATGGTGTATACTGTGCATTTCCACTGGGGAAACACAGCCACCCTATGTTTCTGAATAGCTTGAACAGCAGGGACCAGATGACCTCTAATGCAGCAGACTCTCTTGAGCATACACACTCGGAACCCCTGCTATGCCTCTATAGTCCGGACTGCAATGGGCACCGACTAGGAAAGGAGAGCAGGCAGCAGGTGACCTGGGGGACAAAGTGCAGATGCAGACTGTTCCCCCAGCTTTTCCCAGGGTTGATCTCCCAGATAATCTGGTGAACAATGCAGGGGCTACCCCTTCCCACCCCATACTCCTGTCCCTCATAACGCCTTAGTTATAAAGTGATTAATCTGTTTTCTGTTCACATGTACCTCCCTCTCCCCATCAAATGCTCAGTTTTAAATGTCCACATTTGAGAACAGAAGCAAAACTATGGTATTGAAGGCTCTATAAACCTAGCATTACCCTGGTACTAATATCCTTTCCCCCAACACTCCTCCCCCTAACGCCAAAAACACCCAGCAAGTTTCCGGGCTTCATAACAGAATGGAGAAGGCACTTGGTGACTTTACAAAGCAAGGTTTTCATTTTGTGTTAGAAGTTTTCTTGCATGGTCAGAATACTCCTTACCAAATGAACCACAACGTGTAGAGTCCCTTATACTGTTACATTTCAGCCTTAAAGGACAGACTATGTCAAAGAACCTGAGAGTACTGAAAATGATAACATGTGATAACAGGTATGGCCACAGTAAAACAGGTATGCTCACCATTCGACTTTCTGGAAAGCAATTTAACAAATTCTTATTAAGTGGCTTAAAACTGTACACACTCTTTGACATTGGAATTCCATTTCCAGAACTCTACACTAAGGAATAAAGTGGAACAAAATTTAATGCTACAGGGCAACATCATACCTGAGATAAAAAATGAAAAAGAAACTTATCCAACAAAAGGATAGATTAGACAAATTATGGCAGATTCATTTAGAAACTCTTATGCAGCCATTAAAATGACATGACAAAGAACTGTCAATAAAAATAACAACTATAAGAGCTACTCCTTACACAGGCCAGCCACTAATCTGAGCTTTTTAAGTGTTTTGTATATATTAATCTTGTAATTTGTATACCAACTCAAGGAGGTGGGTACTATTATTCCCGTTTTACAGATCAGAAAACAGAGGTACCAAGAGTTAAGGAACTTGCTCAAGGTCATCCTGCTAGTAGATGGCACTAGGATTAGATCCCATATAGTCTGGCTCCAGAGCCCATTGTCTTAAACCCTCTGGAAGGCTAAATAATGTCCCCAGAGATGTCAGGTCCTGTATTAGTCCATTTTCATGCTGCTGATAAAGACATACCTGAGATTGGGTAATTTATAAACAAAGAGAAGTTTAATGGACTCACAGTTCTATTATGAGGCCTCCCCAACCATGGTGGAAGGCAAAAGTCATACCTCACATGGTGGCAGACAAGAGAGAATGAGAGCCCAGTGACAGGGGTTTCCCCTTACAAAACCATCAGCTCTTGTGAGACTTATTCACCACCACGAGAACAGTGGGGGAAAACTGCCCCCAATCATTCAATTATCTCCCACCAGATCCCTCCCAGAACCCACGGGAATTGTGGGAGCTACAGTTCAAGGTGAGTGGGTAGGGACACAGCCAAACCATATCAGGTCCCAACCCTGAAACCTGGAAATGTTATAAGGAAAAATGGTCTTTGTAGATGTGATTAAGTCAAGAATTATGAGATAAAGCCATATTCTAGATTATCTGGATTGGACCTAAATTCACACGTCCTTATAGGAAAGGTAGATTTCACATACACACACACACACACACGCACGCACTGTAAAAACTGAGGCATATATATGAATGACAAGACCACATGCCAAGGAATGCTGGCAGCACCAGAGGCTAGAAGAGCAAAGAGTAGAACAGATTCTCCCCTAGAGTCTGTGCACATGGAACATGGTCCTGCTTATACCTTGATTTCAGACGTCTGGCCTCCAAAACTATGAGAATAAATTTGTTATTTTAAGCCACTCCATTTGTGGAAAAGTATTACAGCAGCAACAGGAAACTAATACAAGTCCATGTTGCTCTCAACACAAGAAAAAGTATTCATATGCTAAATGGAATAGGAAGAAATCAAAATTTGTACACAATGATCTTAATTATGTATATAAAAATACATGCAA